ACAATTTACTGGAAAAAGAAAAAATGGCTCAATTCATTACTATCCTTTGGCCCGACAGCAAAACCGGCCTTGCGCGCGCGCGGCTCCCTCCTAGGCCGCAACCTAGGCCTGGGTCGGGAAAGTGGCTCGCCCGCTCACGCCCACCTAGGCCAACCTCCGGCCCGTCGCCTCTGCGCCGTTGATGCAGATCGAACGGCCACTCGTGCGTCTCGACGAATCAAAACCGACGACGACGATGCTCCCCTAGAACCCTGACTCACTCCTCTCTCCCCTTTCTCTCTCTCAGCGGCTCAACACCGAGCGAGTGAGCGTAGATAGCCACTGGAGCGAGCCCACGGCGGAGGGATGGTGGCGCCATCGCCGGCCCCCTCGTCAGTGCATGCGCTCCCCTTCGGGTGAGTGCGCCGCCGTCGAGCAGCCTAGCGGCGGCGCCCAAGCAGGCATATCCTGAGCCCGAGCCAGCGGGCTCGGCTTTCTTCTCGTGCTCCGGCGAGGCGACAGCGCGGCAATCTTTCCGCGTGGTGGCGGTGGCGGCAGTGGCAAGGACAATCTAGGTAGGCTCCTCCCCCTTCTACTTCCTTCTTCTTGGTTAGGGTTAGGGTTGGGTTTGGGGTCGAACCCTCTGTTCATCTTCCCCGACTGGCCCTTCACAGGTTAGGGTTAGGGTTAGGGTTTGTGTCTGATCCCTCTGCCTCCATGCATCTTCCCCGACTAGGGTTTTGGTTCGCATCAAACCCTTTGCTTAGATCCGAATCGGATCTCTCACCTCCTTCTAATTGCTGCTACCCCTACCCTTTCCTTACTCGTTTTCTTCCCACGCGCCGGCGAGGCGGCGGTAGTGGTGTGGCGGGTTCAAGGTGAGCCCGCCCATTTCTTTTCTTCTTTGCTAGGGTTAATCCTCTCTTTCTATTTGCTTCTCTCTATTCTACCCCGATCTTGATCTACACACGAGAAAACCTGGCTCCGATACCATTGATAGGATTTATTGAACCTCTAGGTGCAGATCAGTGGGTAAATTGCTTAACTTAGATAGGTTTGGTGATATACCTCATCACATGCAGTCGCTGCCATGGCACGGCCGTCACGGTGGCCGCGACGTGTCGGAGTAGGAGAAGCAGAGACGCGCCCGCTAGGTCATCGCAGGTAGTAGCAGTGCAGGCGCGGCACTGGTGGCGGCGGCGAAGGCGATGGCGCTTCCCGTCGCTTACAGCTCCCCCTTCTAGATCGGCCTGGGGTTAGGACATCACGGTGGGGCTGGCGGCTGCGGTCAATCTCGTGTCTTGTGCCCCAGCCCCCACCGTCCTTTTATGACGCTGCGCAACGGGGGCCCATCAGACAGTAGAAAGGCTGAGCACCTCCAATCAGGGCACGGATCAAGAGCCTTAGTGGAGATCAACCTAACATATTCCACATACCCATCATACCCAAAATGCTTGGAGGTGAATTGATTAAAGTGCCATATTAAAATTTGTCTTTCTTTTCTATAATTCACGTAGGGTCAAAGAAAGTTTTAATATTGTGCCAAATATTTTGGAGAGGTTTAAACGTTGCCCAAAGATCTAACGGAGGTTTCAGATTTGAGGTTGTGATGTCCTTATGTGTACGTCGTCGTCAGATTCAAACTATCTAGCTATTTGGGGGCACTGCCGATTGCTTATGTCTCGGATTTGGATGCTTAATCCAATATTGCTTGTCTTTACAATGCACTTCTGACTGAAGGATATATTGATCCTAGGATTAAAAATCTATGCAGAAGAGATCCCAATTCAAGGGCAAAGAATCATGTCCGAATAGATAACATCAAGTTCAATGACCATGTGAGTAGACATTGAATTTTCCAGATTACTGCCTGTTCAACATTACCAATTATTGACCATGCTGCATTCTCAGCTTACAGTAGCCTGATTTATTCTACGTCAGTAAAATATTGGGATGTTTATCTTACAGTAAACTAACATTCCTAATTATTCAGATATTTTGCTTTGAAGTAGTTCTAAAATTGGTATCAATAAATTGGGTTGCCGTGTGAATCACGCACTGTGTTAATAGTTGGAAAAAGAGGAAGCGAGAGGTGATACATTTGACCTTAGTTTGATGGGGGCTCGCCTTAAAATGTTCCTGTCTAGCAACAACAAAGATGGTGAACTGTTCCCTATCTAGCAAGAGCACATTCGTCAGTCATATACTGAAACGCCTAACTGTTATGTTCGTTAGCTTTTTATCTGTGTTTGATCATGCTTTTGTTTTCAGATTATGCCACCAAAGTCTCAGGAAAACCTTTCCAATGCTCTGACTGATATTAATTTGCAGCGCTCCTGTTTTTGAGAATATTTTTGTATAACAGCAATAAGCTTCAAAATAGAGCATCATAATTATAGTCAAGTTTACGTTTAGAACTCCTTACATATTGTGACGTAAAAGAATTTCTAAGCGTTCGCCATTTGTTTCGGTAGTATAAAAAACACCATTAGTTACAAACTTAACCATCCACGTCAACTTGATCGCCACATTGTGGTCTGATCTGATTCAATCTACATGATAGGTCTCCAGTTTTATCTACAGTACCAAGGTTCTCTTTTCTTTTTTCTTTTTTTTTTGGGGGGGGGGGGTTACAAATACGAAAATAGGGACCTGTGCTACTGGTTCCCTTGTTTACAACCGTTGGGGCTAATGTTTTCATTTGTCAACTTTAAAGTTGGTAACCGTTGTTGAATTAAAGTTGGCAGCATTCCATTTGTACTGTGATTTTTTCATAATTTCAGTCCATTAGAGGTTGATTTTGTTACTAACCTTGGAGAGCAGAGAGAATGAGAGATTCCATAGTGGAGATGACTATATATAGAAGCCTCATGGGCCTATATTAGATGGGCCTTGGTATACTTAACACCTCCCTCCTTCAAACTCAAGGTGGAAGTGGGGGATTTGAAGCATTGAGTTTGATCAAGTGAAGCCGATGTTGCTCTCGAGTTTGTGCTTTAGTGAAAAAATCAGCTAACTGCAACTCAAAAGGCACATACAGAAGAGCAATGGTTTTTTGGTGACAATGAGATCGAGTAAAGAAGGCATCGACACTAATATGTTTGGTAAGTTCATGGTTCATAGGATCATTAGCAATTTGGATGGCTCTTGTATTGTCACAAAGAAGAGGTGTTGCGGCATCAAAAAAAATACCAGAATCAATCAACAACAATCACAGCCATATAATCTCTACAGTAGTAGTAGCAAGTGCTCGAAGTTCTGCCTCTGTACTAGAACAAGATACACTTGCTTGCTTCTTGGACTTCCAGGCAATAGGAGAAGAGCCAAGAAAAATACAATATCCTGTGATGGAACGACGATCTATTGGGTCACTCGCCCAAGTGGAGCCCGAGTAAGCATGAAGTTGGAGCGAACTATCTCGATCATAAACCAAACATTTAGAAGATTTTCTACGTAAGTATCGCAGCACATGAAGTAAATGCCCAAAATAAATGTTAGCTGGAACACACTCAAACTGACTCCAAATATAGACTATATGAGCAATATCAAGCTTAGTAACAGTGAGATAAAACAAGACTTCCCACTATATGCCGATATCGAGAGGAATCTTCAAAAGGTTGCTAGTTTGCCTGCAAACTAGCCGTTCTTCATCACGCAAGCATGATTGGTTAACCTTTGGTGGTTTGCTCATAAACCTCTCCGTTCTTCACCATATAAGTGTGATATCCTCGCTGAGACCCGGCTAGGCCGGTTTCTGCTGAGTCACACTGCCTAGATCCGTTTACGACCAGTGCCATCTAGCACTTGTGATGTGTGACCAATCTTCGCGTCAACACTTAGCCCTTATGAGGGCATCCATGTAAGGGGTTCCAACGAGGACTAGGGGGAAACAGGGAAACGTGAGCTTCTCAATGTCTTGGTAAAAATCGGGATTGTCAATGAGAGTGTGCATTCTCAATCTACTCTTTAAACTTCCGCATTTACAAAAGATTGATCTATGTATTGAACGGAAAATCCTATGATTGTCAGATGCAGCTCATCACAATCACTAGTGCCGGCAACCACCACCTTGATCTGGCCCTCTTGTCAACTATCTACTCCACCACGGCCGCCTCCAATGGCACTGGTACGGTTGTCGACGCTACCGAGGGGGAGTTCCTAGAGTTCTTCAACAACTTTAATTAGGTGTGGGTGCGCATGCAGCCACTCCACCTCCATGCCACCATGGATGATGCTTGCAGGTCCATGCCACTTTCTTCTGCTAAGATTTTGAGTTCAGAGTCCTAGCTGAAGATTGTTTTTTTTTTAGTGTTGATTTTAGGTGGATTTTCTTACAGGATTTGTGGTGAGACCTTCCATTTTTTTAGCATCAATTTTGTTTGATTGCCTAAGTTTTGGCATGATTTTATGGCCGAGGACATGCTTGAGGAGTAAAGAAAGGTCAATGGTTCGACTGTGGCCGGAGGAAAGAAGTTTGGAGAATAGCAACCACCGGTAAGCAACATGGATGCAGGACGAAATGCAGGTCTACTTCTGCTGGATACGCTCTTGGAGTAAAACTCAAAGAGACTATATCCTTCCTAATTTATAGAATACAGATTTAGTTGAAAAATACCATCCAATAACCTTCTTAATTGGATCTCCAAATATAGACACCTTATATTCCAGATTTTTTTCTAACCAAAGATAGAGAGCGAAGATGTCTCTCTAGAGTGCACACAAGATATAAAAAGTTGTTGGAGAATACAAAGATATAGAAATGATTATTAATCAAATGACTCTCTAAATGATGATTTAGAGATAAACTTCATAAAAACTCTTGGAGATGATCTTACTAAGGTAAAAAAAAAACATTCTTCAACAAGCAACCGGTGTGCAGGGCTGCACTGAAGTCAAATGGAAAGCTGCAGAGGGTTCTTATTTTCCTTAAACAACTTCCTTTTTAACTTCTACTGTACATGTCTGAAACATCTAAATACCATGCGATCGAATGGATGCATGGAGCCAGCACTCCATTTTAGTCAGTAACGTCCTCTTCGAGGGATGTAAGATCCACTTGGTGTAGGCGCCCGGTTCCGTGCGTATTCATATGTATATACAGCCTGCAAGGACAACAAAAGTTAATCAAGACATAGTACAGGCAACCACATATTTCAGAAAGGAAGGAATTATTAGAACGTGGTTATATCGCAATGGTATATACTCGTACTCATTCGGGGTGCCTAGACTCCAGGGGCAATGGGCAGGGCAGGCAAAAGTAAATGTTTCATTTTTGAGGTGCAACCAGGGTTCAGAATCTTGAGAGAAAAAAGCATGTGCATCTACCAAACCACAAGAAAAAACAGGGGGCGTTCTCAACTTTTAGCAAGGTAAGTAAGGCTAAGTTTGGGCCCTCAAGCAAACAAGCCCTTGATATGCCCTTGCAAACTGCAGGTTAGACCTACGAATCATCAGTGTATCCGGTGTTAGCCATGGCGAGTACAAGCAGAACTGTGTCTCCACTGCTGTGCCCAGAATTCACAAAATGTTCTGCAATTCTGTCAAGTTCTGGATACTAGAGAGCGTTTGTACTAGTGCATTTTCTTCCACAATTTTACATGCACATGAAAAAAAAACTGAAATATTAACAGTTCTTGTGCCCAAAAGAGTGATATGCCCTTGCAAACTGCAGGTTAGACCTACGAATCATCAGTGTATCCGGTGTTAGCCATGGCCAGTACAAGCAGAATTGTGTCTCCACTGCTGTGCCTAGAATTCACAAAATGTTCAGCAATTATGTCCAGTTCTGGATACTAGAGAGCATTTGTACTAGTGCATTTTGTTCCACAATTTTACATGCACATGAAAAAAAAAACTGAAATATCAACAGTTCTTGTGCCCAAAAGAGGGAGGCGAGGTTTCGAATTGCCTAGTTTCCAGTTTCCTCAATACAGGGGCCAACTGCCCTCTAATTATGATGGCATGTCAAATATGGTTATAAATTTGACAACTATGCCAGTTTAGTAATGTCTACTACATATATAAATGACCAAGCATACTTCAAAATATGAACAATTTTATGCACTCTTGTGATTATTGACACATTGTCATGACTGACCTCATAGCCAGCATTGGCTTCTGTAACCAGAGTAGGCTGATGGTGACGCTGCAGTTTCTCCCCAAAAAAGAAAAGAAAATATTAGATTACAAGCTAAAATCTTGGGCTAACAGAAAAGAGAGCAGATAAGCATAAAACCAAGATGTTCCGCAAATTTGAAGTGAGGGGGGGGATCATCAGCACAAGAAAAACATATTCAAGTAAGCAAATTCTCAAATTAAGTGTTTATTGGCTGAAGGTTCATAAGTTTCACTACGTACCTAGACATACTTATATATCTAGATGCATACAAAAGCTACACATAACCTAGAAAAGGCAAAACGACCTACAGTTTGAAATGGAGGGAGTAGTACAGTATTACAACAGGAAAAGTACTGAATCTTTACGCTCCTCTGAAATCATTCATCATTTACTACTACCTCTGAAGTTTTCTTACAATTATTAATATTGCTAATTAAAATTTACTATTAATTTTATATTTATATAGCATCATCCTTGTGATTTTATGGCCTACAATTGACTGGTTTGTTACCCACTTTTCCTATCATAATTTCTGAAACAACTACCAAAAAGATCATACTTTATATTGCTTAAAACTTTCATATTCACATGACATTTCATATGTGATCCTTAAAAACCTGACATAGGTCTTTAAATCGTAACACACCTAAACGGTCACAAGATAATTTCAAGATGCATAAAGGAGGATGCCAGGTAAATGATAAATAAACAAATAATGCTTTAATGTGTCATAGTTAATAGTTATGAATATTAGCAAATGCTTAGTAAACAAAATATGTAATTTGCAAGATCATACCTCTGGCATAAGGATGGATATCTATGGGATGGATATCGTACTGTGCAGTTCTGTGAGATCATAAAATATAACTGAAATTAGGTACAACTACTAAGCCAGATCTCAAGTTCTCTATGGTCAATGTACTACACAGCGTAGAATGGGATTTTTTATTATTATGTAGACTATTTCCTCTGATAAATTTTTAACATTTAGCACTTTAGGTCACACAAGCGACCTTGGCATGGATATATGGGCTTTCATGTCAAGGTCAATGGTGTGGCATGGTTTATCACTAAGGCCTAGGCATGGTAGCCCATATAGCCAAGCCATGGGCCTTGACTAAATCCCCGTCCGGCCCATATAACAACACTGGCTGGTGTGGATGCTAGAACTTGAAAATTTGGTTGAAGGTTATTATTCAAAGAATCTATTTAAATCAGCGAAATAATAAAAACAAATCTAGAATTGGTTCTAACAAATCTAGCTTATTATGAGATTAGGAAGCTAGGAATGCTATTGTCAATTTCAAGTTAGATCCAATTTCTTAGTTATTTGGCTACTAAGTAATCCTCTTGATAAAAAGAGACAGACGTCTAAAGAGGCAAGGATTAAGAAGGTAAAACCTTCTCCTTGATCCAAGGCTCCCTTCCCATCCATCAACCCATCTTTTACTCCCTCCCAAATCCCAAAAATTCAGACAGATAAATAACAAGAGACAAATGGAAAAGGAATAAAACCTCTGCCGATTATATGCATCACTGCCATGATCTCGAATTGTAGGCGAAATGAATCCAGCATGAGGTTCCTAAAAGGCATGAATACAAAAGTAGCATGTAAATAAAAAACGATGGAAATCTGATGATGAGAATAAGAATGTCAGATGTATATCTTTTAGTAGTACCAGATCAGAGGCATATGATTTAGATCTCGAATTTCCACCCAAATTATCTGCATATTCATGCATAAGAACTAGTTTTTGTTAATCAATTAATGTGTAATTGACCAAAGGATTTTAATCAAGGGAGAACATACTATTGTTATGTGCTTTCTTCAGAGGTTTTTCGTTTATATATATACTTCTGTTCTCGCTGGCTTTCCTTTTCCCTTTGGAAATGTTAGATGTTTGCAGTACTGCAGCACCTCGACAAGTTAGCTGGCTCTCATCAACATTACCTGCACAATGATTAGTATAAGAAATAGTCTTCATTCATAAAAGATGGCCAATGAATTATGAGAGGGAACATACGATTATTTTGTGCTTTCTTCCATGGTTTTTGGTATACAGAGGCATGTTTGTTCTTTCCAACTTTCCTCTTGCCTTCAGAAGATTTGGAGGTTTGTGGTACTTCTGCAGCACCTTGTGAGGTTAGTTTTGTATCATTGTCATTTGGTAATTTACTTGATGAATTTGTCTTCATAATTGCCTCCTTTGTCCGAGAGGTAAGTTTGCTCCTGTCGCCTTTCCGGAATTTATGGGATAAATTCTTATCTACAACAACCTTCTCTGTGTGGTTTTTGTCCTTCTCAGTTATGGTGGCAGCATTTGAAGGTGCAGCACTATTGATCTTCAAAGCACTTTTTGGCCAAGCAAGATATGCACACAACTAAGTAATGAAAGAGATTGTCCATGTCAGCAGGTAAACCAGAACAACTGAAAAGGCTTGAGAAAACAGGACATATACCTTGAAGCTTCCATCAACTATCTTTGCTTTGTTTACTCCTGCCACACAAGCTGATGCACCCTTGCTGGATGAGAATTCAACAAAAGAAATTGTTTCGTTTTCCAAATTCTTTGATATCTGGAAAAGATCAACTTTCAGAATATCCCCATATTCTTCACAGTACTCTTTAATCTTATTCTCATCCCAAGAAAGAGGGACATGTTCCAGGTATACTTTTTTTGCCTACAAAGAATATTAGTCAGTTATGAAGTGAAGAAATGACAAAATGTTAATGTCCGATAATCTCAGAGTAACTAAATTTACAAAATGCTGAAAGATAATAATAAGTACATCTAATTTGGTAATTGATAATCTGCATATGAAACATAGTCTCTAACGTAGCCTGGGTAATGCAAAATACAAGAAGCAACCTACTAGTGTGGCATATAAACATAATACATTTTCTAAAACTATAGTTAGCACAGTTGACACAAAAAGCTCACACATAAAAGCTGCATAAGAGATATGGCTCGAGCACCTACAATCACTGAATTTGCTGATTATCATAACAGCTTATAAGCAGAATGAGAAAAACACATTATAAAATAAGATCGCAACACAATATGCAGTACTTGAGGAATTCAAACATGGCAGTGACGGGTTAATGCCAACGCTGTCCAACAGTGCTAAAAGGATGTTCAATCTGGTAAGCTTCATCACCACACAGTAAGCCTTTGAGGGAAAGAACTATTGATTGGAGTAAGGTACACACAATTGCAAGGATGCGCAATTCAAATGGAGAAAATAGGAGGCGGGCGTCACAAAGGAACTACATATTCTGCAAAAATAGAGGAATATAGGAGAAATGGGCTTGACAGCCCTGGCACATGGGCATTGAAGAGGGTGTTTTTTCCTTTCCTTTCTTGAGTTCCTTGTGGATCAGAACTTCGCTGCCAAAATGACTATGTTGCTACATGCTATAATTACCAATACAACACGAATGCATGCAAGGCTGTGGTACATGCATTCCATTATTTTATGAACAGCCAATGGGTACCTAAGCATATATATATCATTGACCTGAAAACGTCAGGTCAAGAATCAAGAACTAAAATAGGAACAACCCCCTGTGGCCAAATAAAAATAATAATGGATTCGGTATTCCTGGAAACTTCAATCTAAATGACAAGGCCCAGGCCAGCAGAACAAAAAGTTAGTAGAAATGTAGTAAAACCTAAGTCAGAACAAAAATGTAGGACTACTGAAGCTCTAATTTCTATAGCCACTAGATCAGCATCCTATAAGATTTTTTGGTCACAAACAAAATAAACAAGTTCATATCACAGGCGAAATACTGAAATAGTGCCACTTTGCGAAGTTTTCAGTTAAGCTTTCATATCCCCAGCTACTGGATAAGCTTCTGCAGATCATAGGAAGGTTACCAGAATGAGATTCAGGTTTTTTTCCAGTACAAATTTGTAAGTATCAACCAGAAACTAAACAGACTACTAATGATGTTTTGTGTCAACATACGTTGTGCTTAAGTTAACACAATTCATTTACAGCAAGCAAGCAATCCACCAAACATGTTGTACCATCCTAGTAAGGATTTTAGAGTTTGTCCTAAGTCAAACTATTCTAAGTTTGACCAAATTTATAGAGAAGGGTATTAACATCTACTACATTTCAAGAGAGTAAATTATGAAAATACATTTCATAATGGACCTAATGCTGCTCGTTTGAAATATACTATTGTACTTTTTCTGTAAACTTGGTTAAACATAGGATAGTTTGACTTAGGACAAACTCAAAAAGTCCTTATATTCTAGGACAGAGGGATTAGCTATCAATAAGGGAAAATGACATAATAAATAATTAAAATATTCCAGATAGTACTCACTCAAATGAAATTCGAATATATGAAATAGAAATCAATGCTTACCTCCAAAAGACTCTTGGATGATTTTGTGGGGGTTTCATAAAAAGATACTTTAGCGCTTCTATTAGTACCAAAAATAGCATCAGATTTCATTAAGCGACGAAATGCTGCTCTAGCATAGTAGTGCGAGGCAAATTTAAGAAAAGCAAACCCTCTGCTTCCTCCCTTGTAAGTGGGAAAGGTTATCTTGCACTCTTGAATTCCAATACTTTTTAGGGTGTTCAGCACCTAAAGAGTCAAACAAATATAAAGTAAATGATAAAAGTTCTACAGCAAGTGATGATTTGGAGAATTCTGCACAATTATTCCAAAGAAAATACAATAAGTAAAATAAAAATGAATAAAGAATTAAACACCAACTTTCTGAAAGAAAAAGAATTCAGGGTAGAAACAATATTGTGTTTTTAAAAAGGTATTTTTCAATGGTCCAATGCAAATGAGCCTTGGCATCCCAGTATTAAATCTCAATTTTCATTTTTTTTCTGGATTCAACAATAGATCACATTTATGCAATCAAACAAGTTGCATTTAATTAAGTTATTCTGCACCTCTGAATTTACTTATCATTTTATTAACAACAGCTATATTTATCAATGAATCGGGAATTTTAAATAACATATCAGAGTACCAATAATTGTACTATTATTGAAAAAGTTAACCTTCAACTTCTCAAAGGTTGTTATTTCAGCATTCCACTGGCAACTTAAACAATAATCTAGAAATCTTAGGTTGGTCCCTCCGTATCCGCTGGCTTTGGCTTGAGAAAACCAATTCTTCTCGGCCATGGGCTGGTCTACCTATTAAGTGCCACAAATTGCTCGGGTCTTTTTCAGTATGGCGGTTGAAACTTTTGTTGGCAATGGGCAAAATACATTGTTCTGGACAGATAGATGGCTGGGTGGAAAAACCATGGCTGAATTGGCACTTCATCTTTTCCAGGCTATTCCTAAGAGGATCATTAAAGAACACACGGTTGCCGAAGCCCTGGTTGCCCGACGTTGGGTAACTGACATAAGAGGGGCTCTCTCTGTCCAGATTCTTACAGAATATCTCTTCTTATGGGATTTGGTGGAAGGTTTCTCGCTGCAACAGAATGTCACCAGCATGTTTGGAGGCTTACTAGGTCCAGTTCTTACTCTAGCAAGTCGGCCTACAATGCCTTTTTCCTTGGTTCAGCATCCGCTTTGCTCCTTAGAAACGAACATGGAAATCATGGGCTCCTGTTTGCTGCAAGTTCTTCATTTGGCTTGCAGTAAAGAATCGTTGTTGGATGACAGACTGACTCGCTAAAAGAGGACTCCCCCACCCAGCAGCTTGCCCCTTCTGTGATCAAGTGGAGACCATACAATACCTATTGGTTTCGTGTGTTTTTGCCCGGCAAATCCAGTACATTATTTTACAGAAGAAAATTGGCTTGGCCTCCATTGCACCTCAACCATCAACTCATAAATTCTCAAGCTGGTGGTGCAAGGCAGTTAAAGAGGTGGCAAAAGACTACAGAAAAAGGGGTTCAATTCGCTGGCAATATTAGTGGCTTGGGAAATCTGGAAGGTTTTTAATGGCTCTACTCCAAGCATTACAACGGTGTTGCGAGCTGTCACTTACAATGTGTCTATCTCATGCAGTTAAAACTGACTCCAAGTTCTCATCCTTTGTAGGTTGAAGCACTAAAAAGACAATCCTTCTCTAAGAAGGTTACTATCGTTCTTCCTACCACAGGTATGCTACTTAATCTCCTTTGTTTAATCCTTGTAATAGTCTGGTCATGAACAATTAAGATCTCTTGTTTGGCCCATCATCTAGAACCATCCTTGGGAAGTCTAAATCATTTATCATTTGTAATGATGTAATTATTGGATTTCGAAATTGTGAAATATAAAGATGTCTTATTTTGTGTAATAACCTAATATGCTATTCGAATTTCACATTGATATTCTTTGGCTATTAATGTCTTTGGACAATGTTATCACCCAATCAATGCTTCATAATGAAAAAAAATCTTCTTTAGGTTTGATTTGCACAACTGTCTCTATGTTCCTCTTGTTGCATTGATTTTTTTTACACTCCCATTGCAATGCATGGGCAAAGATCTAGAAGTAAGGTAAATTATTATAAAAAAAACAGCATGAGCTCATGGTGGTCTGACTCAGCACTTGCAACAATCTAGTTAATTAAATATAAACTGGACCATTAAGACTACTATACAGATATAGCTATTTTTGTACCTTTAACAAAACTGAACAGTTTGATAAATTTAAATTTGGACAGTAGTATTCTTACAAATCAAGACTCCAAAAAAAAAGGTACTGAATGTTCTGATTTCAAAGATATAGTTCAATCTATAACCAATAGAAGGGATTAAACTGTCCAATTGTCCTATCAAATTTTGCAGATTATAAAATGAACAGCGATATTTTCAGGATCTCAATCAAAGTGTGTGATATCGTACCTGATCTCTGGTCCAGCCCTTGCAAATGTTGCCCAGGTAAAGGGTATTATTATCTTGACAAGCAGATACCCTGACCATTTTTCCTTTTACCTGATGAAAACAACACAATACATAGTATATTACACATTAAGATTTGACACAATAAATTGGCTGTAAAAGGGTTGTCGAATTCAAAACCTCAATTCCCTCCTTAAATTCAGCGAGAACATTCTTTGCAGCTTCAATGCTTGCACAACAAACAAATGCAACGTCTTTGTTCTTTTCAGTTGATGAATTTTTAATTATCCTAACAGATTTGACCTCCCCTGATTGAGAAAAGGCCATAGCAATGTCTTCCTTAACACAATCATGAGGCAAGTCGTCAACAAATATTTCAAGGCCTCCAGCAAGTTCAGAGTTCTGCATATCATCACCACTATCACTCCCACTGCTCAATTGATCAGCATCTTTATCCTTATTTGTGTTGCCAGATTTACCATATTCCAGTTTGGACATTTCATTTGTTTCTGCATGAAATAGAAGAAAAACTTTAACTACTGAATGGTTCACTATTAGTATAGGGCACAGAAATATCAATACAACCAGGCATAGCACTAAGGCCCTGTTTGGCATGGCTCTTGGAGGCTCTGGCTCAATGTTTTCAAGTCGTCTAGTCGACTCTGGTCGCCATGGGACCGACCAGACGATTAGTCGCGATTAGTCGTCGACCAGGACGACTAGTCGAGTCTGGTCTGGGCAGTAGGCACACCTACCATCATTGGAGGAAGAGCTCATCTTCGAGAGCTAGGGGGGAGCAGAGGCGCAGAGCCAGGGAAGAGCTTCACCAAGAGGCGTGCTGGCTGGGGAAGAGAAGCATAGAAGAGAGAAAGAGCAGAGCAGCAGCAGCCGTCACGCACAGGAGAGAAGAGAGAAAGAGCAGAGCAGCAGCAGCCGTCACGCACCGGAGAGAATGAGAGATGGGAACCCTAGAGACTTGGCCTCCTGTATATATATTACAGACCCTAGTGGGCCAAATTGGCAGCCCAACTACTCACCTGGAAGCCCAGTCAAGCAAGCCCAAAGAAGGCAGTGCCCAGCCTGGTCGTGCAGCCCCCTGGTCGGACGACTAATCGTGATTAGTCGTCGACTAGTCGGACGACCAGGTTTCTAGTCGAGCTAATCGAGTCGAAGTCTCTAATCGAGGTCATGGTACCGACCAGACCGACTAATCGCGATTAATCGGACGACTTGTAAACATTGCTCTGGCTCCTCCTCCCAACCACTGTAGCAGAGCCATTTTGATTCCTGAGGCAACAAATGAACTGAGAAAGAGGAGCCGGCGGAGCCACGATTTATAGCTCCACCAGCTCCAGCTCCTCCTTGTTACAGTGTTTTACAGTAAATGGAGCCAGAGCAGACGAGAGCTGCGCCAAACAGCCTCTAAGTATAGGGAAAAGACTTAAAAGGCTACTTTGCTAAAGAGATCTTAATATTCCTGGATCCAAATTACAATAAATAGCTCAACAGTTGTAACCTTATTTAGGTGGGATGAAAAACTTTAGTTGCCACTGTGTTATAATTTTTCCTGATACTAAAATATGTGATTCTAACAGAGACGAAAACTAAAACGAACACACTAACTTTTAACAGTCTTTGGGATCAAGTTACGGGGCCTGACAAGGAAATGTTTGATAAATTTCATAGAGGTGAACTCAATCTTAGCAGGCTCAGCTATGGTTTGATCACTTCAATCCCTAAGTTAACTGAAGCTAATAACATCAGACAGTAAAGACCTATCTGCTTATTCAATGTGGATTATAAGTGGTTTACCAAAATCCACACAATGGGATTGACTCCTTTGGTGGATAAATTGATTCCCAGAAATCAAACTAATTTCAGCCCTGGGGAAGGTATCTTGGAGGAGTTTATTCTCTTATACGAAGTTCTACAGGAGCTTAGAGTGAAAAGAAAAGAAGGGGGTAATCTTGAAAGTGGAATTTGAGAAGGTCTATGACAAAGTACAGTGGATCTTTATGTTAGAGGTGCTACAGAGAAAATTTTCCCAAATTTTGGTTGACTGGGTGAAGCAAATTATTAGGAGGTAAAGTGGGAATTAACACAAATGGCACACCTGGAGTGTATTTCAGGACATACAAAGGATTGATTGAGGGAAGGGGGCTCTTTATCTTCATTGCTGTTTAAACTTTGTGGTGATAAAAACTATGTTACTGAATTCTAAAGATGCCGGAAGGATAAAGGGTCTGGTGTTTGATTTGGAACAGGGAGGCTTAAATCATTTACAGAATGCTGATAATACTGTGATCTTCCGGGAGTTGGATGACCAGAATATCAATACTAAGTTCTTGTGGTTATGCTTTAAGAATATGTCTGGGCAGAAAATTAATTTAAGAGCGAAATTTTTTGTATTGGGGTGTCAGAAGAAGAGAGAGTGGTGGTCATTTTCCATTCCAAAGTGGGAAAATTTAATATGAAGTACCCGGCAATAAATATCAGAAGGAAGAAGTATCTGGGTGATGTAGGTTTTTATTGAAGGAATGGCTGATATGGTTCCCAATTTTTGAAGATGTTTGCATTGGATCAAAAAAACTATTGAAAAACTTGGGTGAGTGGTCTAAGTTTGTGTTTTAGAACTTTGGGTGCACCAGAATAATTAGAGTGGCAAGAATTTGGGGAGCTAATGGACACAGTGAGTGAGGGTGAAAACATAATGAGCTGAGCTTTGGAAAAATCTGGATTGTTTTCTACATCCTCACATTACAAGGCATTGACTTTTCCAGGAACCATAAATACAAGGATGGTAGAAATGTGGAAGGCAATTTTGCCCCTAAAAATAAGGACCTTTCTGTGGAAAGTCATTTATGATAGAATTCAATAGGCAGAGATATTGTTCAAGAAGCATTGCCGCATTGGAATGGGAGTATTAAATGAAAACTCTGTGAACAACCTCATACCACAGACCATGTTATTTCTTGGTGCCCAATTGCTAGGTTTGTGTGGAGTGTGTGCAGAGACGAGATGGGATGGCAAAATTCCCCTAAGGGTGTGACTGTATGGCTGAGCAACCTACTTCAGCATAAGCATGGCAAATGCCTTTACAAACTGTGAAGGGACATGATTTTAGGCAGCACCAGGCATCCAAAAGACTAAAGGAACGAAACCGATGCCACACTCAGAGTCTGAAAACTATCACTCCAAACCATACTAAACGAACAAAAACGAATATCATCGTCACAGATTAAAGTTATTGCTCATAGCAAGACGCCATAGCCTCTACATACCGTTCGCCATTGACCCATCCACCTCCGCAACACCGTCGCCCTCCTTGCACTCTTCCACCTCCTCGGGCTCCTCTTCCGATGGCTCGGTCTCCTCTGGCTCCTCATCCAGCTCTTCCTTCTTCCCCTCTAGCTCTTCGGGTTCGGCCTCCTCCTCGGGCTTCAGCAACGGCAATGGCTCCATCAACTCCGCCTCTATCCCATCCGCAGTTTCCACCTCCCCCGCATCCGCTTCTTCCTCCTCCTCTTCTTCTTCTTCCTCCTCCTCCTCCTCCTCAGGATCCTCTTCCCGCGCCTCCTCATCCAGCTCCACAACTGCAGCCGAAGCCCCCACCTTCATCTCCTTGCCCTCGGCGCACTCTTCAACAGCTGCCCCAGCCCCGGCCTCGGCCGTGGCTTCTCCCTCGGTGACGGTAGGCGCCAAAGAGCTGCCATCGTCGGCGGCTGATGCGGTCATCCCGGCTCGTGGGCCGTGGCGCGGTGAAGGTAGGGTTTCTGATTCGACGGAGAGGATGGGCAATGGGAGACGGAGGACCCTGTTATCTACTATCATTACCCTGGTTTGGCCGCTCCTCACGCGACCCGGCCTTTTGATCTAGCGTTGGACGTTCCAGATTTATTGCGGTGGATTTAGTCGTAAGCGGTTCCCGTGTTTCTCCTCGGCTTTTTCGGCTTCTCCGTGCTATTGTTATGCCAGTTTGGTTTGGCCGCTCCTCACGGTATCCACGTCGCCCCGAATCGACTCGGCCGTTCGATCTCGCATTGGACGTCCCAGATTTATTGTAGTGGATTTAGTCGTAAGCGGTTTCCGTGCTTCTCCTCGGCTTCTCCGCAGCTTCTGCTCGGCTTCTCTGGCTCCTCGCCGGAATCCGGCCAAACGAATATATTCGCACGTCCTGCTTCAGCTTCTAGACGTTTCTCCTTTCCCCATCCTCTCTCCTCTTCCCTCTCTCCCCCCACGGGCGACGAGCGACGGCAGGGCGACGGTGGCTCGCGCCGGCGGCGACCCGCGCTTGCGGCCGGCCTCGCCCTCCTCCCCCCTCGCGTCGCCTTGTGCTAGCTAGAACCGTCTTAAGCGTGACGCCAAAGACGAAGCGGTGTCGGGCGCGATGGCGCTGGCGCCAAGACGTGACGACCACCGGCCGCGCCGCCACGGTTAAGGTAGAGCTGCAAGCGAAACCCCGCCGTTAGCCACCGGTGGGTCCCCCCACGACCTCCCCTCCTACCGTTGTTGCTACCGCTGCTCTGTGCAACAAGAAACCCTAGGTGGCTCTCCGTCTCTTGATCTGTCGCTGCCTTTCCCTTCTCGTCCGGATCGGTGCCGTCTGCGGTCAGGGGAGCGCTTCAGTCTTGGCCGGATCGAACAGCGCACCAAAGACGGAGGAGCCGTCAATCGGCCGTCGACCACGCGGCAGCCCGTCCCCCGGCCAGATCAACAAGGCGAGAAGCCTCTCACGACGCGGCCAAGCGCCAAATAACCGACTGACCCCACTCAAGGTCGTGACCGGCCCCGTTGACGCGACCGACGCCAGTCCAGCTACATCCTCTGCTCTATTTCGTCCTCCCTGACCTTGGTTGGTCCTGCTACGGTAACCTAAAAAAATCCCCTATATCTCCTTTGCCACCTTATCTCTGTGGTCCCTTGATTTTGTTGTCTATATGTATGGATGTTGTTTGCTTACACATACGATTTGTGTTGTGCAAAAAAAATGAAAATGTCTCCCCTCATAACTTATGCATGTATTGTTAATCTGGAAGGCACATTATTTGTAGGTTTAGGACATTGATGCGAACAAACTATGTTATCTGCAACGGATTCAAAAGGCGGTCACTGCATTCTCTGAAAAGCTTCGGCATGTGACTATGTGAGTTACCCCCATAGGAGATAGGAACGCCTGTTAAATCGGTTTCTACTAAAAAAAAGTAACACAACATTGTAGCATCTTAATTTTAGTACTACGGTCTCAGGCCTAGCGATGGTTCATGAGTTTTAGGCAAATGATAATAGTACATAGAAAATGCATACATACCTGTGAATGCTGAAAGCATTATAGTTGCTTAAAGTATTCATTTATATGAAATTATAAAGTATTCATTTATATGAAATTATAATTACTTACAGTAACCATTTATACTTCATACTACCATTCTGAAGAAAAACCGCATTCACAGGCACTAGCTCTCCTCCAGTCCTCGTCCTCCCGAATCCCGCCGCCTGGCGGGTGCCGGTCGCGTGGTGTCGTGGTGGCGACTGGCCATGGGTTGCTGCTTACGCTACGAGACTGCACCACAAAGCTGAGCTACTTTGGTATCTTCCCTCGTGCCATCCAACTAATTTTGATCCTTTGCATGTTTGCTTGTTTCATTGGGTATATACAACCATACGGGAAGATGTAGTCCACGTGATGGACGACATGGTGGAGCAGAACAAGCTAACCCCCGTAACAATGTAGTTATATCTTGGTTGTGCAAATATGCCTCTATGCTGGCATTGGGAAAAAAGGTTTTGGGAGTTTGACTTAGGCAAATATACCTTAGTTCCTTAGGTTTACTAACATAAGATTGCAGATAGCTAAAAACTACAGTTGGACCTATCGGTTGTCAGTCTCGGGATCGTTCCATTCGAAACATGCATGTTCCCAACAAATTGAGTGGTTGTCTGCGTGAATCTATGAATGATCTGAACTGGTTTTTTATTCAGTTACTTAAAAAACTTAACCGGGTCTACTTTTTTTACAAAAAACCTGTTTTGTGACCTACTAAATTGTCTTATTTCGTCATCAAGTATTTTATTTGCTTCAGTCCAGCCATGGATTCTGATGTAGACTTTATTTAGCTAGAAAAAAATTAGGTATGCTTCTAATTTCTGCATCCCTGTATCCTACCTTTTCCTCATTTGTAGGATTTTGCTTTTTGTACAAAAAAGAAGGTGATGGATACCTTTACATATTCTCCAGGTAGGTGAGAAAAAAGGGAATCAGAAAAAAGGTATTGGAGGAACTTATGTGCAGTTGCAGAGTATGGAAGAAAGCCTACCATCTGGGCCACATTCACACGTGAAGGTCAGTTGGGTAACTTTAATGGTATGCAATTCTACATCTATGCACTATGGTGCTGTTCTGTTTCTTAATTCCAATAACTGTAATTCCATTAATTGCAAGCGATAACTGTGATTTATGAGTCTGACTTTGAAGTGTTCATCTAAATTTTCAAACTGTATTGCGATGTTTCCTTCCTGTTGGTTCCCTTCTTGGCAAAGCAGTTAGTACTGGATGGTTTACAGTGTGGTGTCCTCTGCAGTTACTGTTGCAAGCGCTAACTGTGATTTATGAGGTTAGTAGTGGATGGCTTACAGTGTGGTGTCCTATATATTGCCATGTTTCCTTCCTGTTGGTTCCCTTCTCGGCAAAGATGCCAGTATTGGATGGTTTATAGTCTGGTTTGTGCTTCACTAAAACTATTACATAAATATTTCTGAGGCTTCTTATCGATGTATTTTGCTTTCACCCGATAGCTATTGCTTCAGCCCTTACCTCCTTTATAGTTTGTTTTAATGATTGGTAGTTTTCATTGTGATTTATGAAAAGACAAGTGCTAGATCACCTCACCAGATTCCATTGTAGCACCATCAAAAATTATCTCTATATTTTTTTGGAGTACCGGTAAGCTAATATTAGTTGCTATGTCGTTCCCTGTATATAAGTTGCAGCGGTACAGTGCCTCATGGTGTATTTTGCTTTGTAATAATAGCTTCTAAAAAGCGATCAGCTTAGCGTTATAGCCTTCTACCTTACTGACTAAGGTGCCTTTTAGCAAAGTGATCACCTTATCAATTCAGGCCTGCATCTTACTGCCTGTATTTTACAGGAAAAAAATTGCTTCTTTGTATGCCTAATCTGGCTGGGCAGCATTAGATGCAACCAAAAAAAGATGCTCGACTCAAAATTGATCTATGCAGAGAGGCCTTGCTATAGGCTCATGTGATTTGCAGTGATTGTGCGTTCACGCTGGTTGAGTCATTATCAAGGTATACTTTGTGAAGCTATACCGGTTGAAGCATCCATTCCGGCGTAGACTTTTGTCAGCTCAGTGTTACAAACTATCATGTGTAAAAAAAAAGTTAGACCCATTATCGTAGCTTAGTGACAAATGGATAGCTGGACCATCAAGGTTCAGTTCGAGATTACCCTTTTCCATAAAAAATTATTTTCTGGTTTAGTGTATTCAAATTGAATCTGTGCTTCTGCTATATTGCACCTCCAACAAGTTCCATTTGAGTCGCTAATTTTCTTGGAATTTCCAATAATGCTCACCTCCATCCTTGCATTTTGTGACTACTTTTTTCTTAAACAAATCTCTTATGGTTCCTATCCAAGTGGTGCTTTCTTCTCTGTTCTTTTGAGTCTGGCGACAGCTTCAGCAATTTAATCCTCTACTTCCCAGGGCATACCATATGACGCTAATGCTTAAAAAACAAATAATGATCGTCAACAAGCTTCTTCAGGATCAGTCGGAGATTATGGAAAAGCAGTTTTTTCGGGTATCACTTCTATATCTCTTCCTATTGCCTCTACTTCCATTCTGTGTACGACCTTTTTCCCAGTCTTCTTATGTGGGTTTGCTCATAATGCCCAACACCCCTTTAACTGTTGGACAGACTGCATCAGGTGCAATTTGCTGACAACCCATGAGTCATTTTAAACCTATTAATAGTAGTGAAATGCAGTATGCGATTGTTCAATGAATGAAAATTTGGTAGACAGTCTCTGTCATCAAATTAGCTGGTTTGTGTACTTCACCGTTAAAATTTTAGATTATCTTTTGTAGTGCTATACTAAATCAAATTATCAGCGGTGGTAACAACACAAAACACTACATGATATTTTTACTGCTCAATCATGTGCTTGGGAGAGATGGCTACTCAGGATGATGAAAACTATGTACGGATTCAATCCCACTGGAAATTCTGGACAGATGGACAGAAATATTTTCATCCTATAACTGGCCTGACAGATGTACCTGATTATGTATGTAACCTGAAAAATAGGGTGTCAGTGTTTGAGAGCGAGAATTTTTTTATAACATTATAGTCTGATGAGTTCGGTTGCCTTCACAGACCCCTTAGGTTTGGATTTATAATTCCATGTATGAGTGCCTTTTACGTATGTTGTCCGATTCCGCCTTTGTATTGCATAACTTTATTTTGGCTGTAGGTGTAGATGGTTTTTGTTGCAATTGTGATAAAAGGAGCCTCTGTGGCACTAATTTATGGTTCCCAGATCTCTTCCATGCAGTCAAAGTATATGAGAACAATGTTGACATAATTCATGGTGACTGCATCCTCAGGTCTCCAATCCCAACCCTAAATCCAAAAATTATTGTAATTGGATTTTACTTACTATTTTGGTGTTTGGTTCTTGGTATTTTCTGAAATAATTTGTAATTTCAAGACTAGAC